TTATACGGCCTATTTAGATGTGGAGAAAATACTTGAAAGAACACCATTAATAGAAGATGAAAAAGAGGAGACTAAATTTTCTCGAACTTTTCGTTTGAAACAACGAAAGGAATTAAAGGGAAGAAATTTAATCACACCCGAACAGATAATTCAATATAATTTGCCACTTGATATTGCCTTGTACTTGAATTACTACATCAGTAAAATTGTTATAGTAACTAAAGATTCTGCGTCAATCACTCAAATGTACAATAATCTAAACACTCTCATAGATTGCTTAACAAACCTAGAGAGAGTTCTTAGATCACCAATTCCTTTTGCCTATGCCATTCATCTTTTTCATACCACATGGATATTTTGTTTGTCACTTCCATTCCAATTAGTTGGAGACCTTGATTGGGTCACGGTGCCTATAGTATTTTTGACTTCACTCATCTTACTAGGAGTCGATGAGATCGCAGATGAGATCGAAAATCCATTTGGTACAGATCCGAATGATCTAGCAATAGATAGTTTCTGCAAACTTATTGAAATGGAACTTGAATTTATGAAGAAACATGGAAAGGAACATGAAAATGAAGATGCGAAGGACCGTGGATATGAAGAAGTGAGTGAGCATGGAGATAAAGGAGCGAAGAAAGAAATGAAAGGAGGGATCATGGAATATTGGTGGACTGAGGCAAAACATGCGGTAGAAAAACCAAAAAATCAAGCAAAAATAAATGCATCAAAACAAGAGGTTGATGAAATAAAATCAAATCATGAAAAAGAGGTTAATCAATACGGAGGCGATTCCAATGTGTGATAATGTGGTAATAGATTATTATGTAATTAGAGAATCGTATTACTATATATTTATTTTCATACTATTGTTGATAATGTAATTAAAAATTGTATTTGTATTAACGTTAATAAAAATATCATCTGTGTCGAATTCGGTTCAAAATCCAAACCAGTTAAACATGAGCTTTTTAATTGAGATCAAAATCAATCTTCTAAAAAAAAAAAAAAAAAAAAATTACAAATAAGAGGCTACAATAAAAATTATTAATATAGGTAGGGGTACCGAAAATTAATTGCAATTAAATTTTATTATATGTATATGCAATTTCAATCAATTAAAAAATAATTGAAACCAATTAATGACGAAATAATTGCATCTACGTATAAGTTTACGTGATCAACTACCCTGGAGAATATATAGCGCACGAAAAAAACTTCAAGTTCGTTTAAGTTAGGGTTAATGCTTACTATATGGTTAGATGTTAACAAAATCGTTCAAGAAATTTTTTTGTTAGAGCGCAAAAGGCAAAATTTTGAGATAAACGATTTTTTAAAA